CTGCAGCAGAAAAATTTTTTTATTGGTCAAGGTTTTTAGTGTGCTCTATAATTTACTTAATAGTCTTGATTTATTATTAATTTTTGAAATTCCGTTCACGCACTTGATTTGATTGATGATGATGTGCGAAACAATGGTGTTGCCTCTTCAAAAATATGCAACCAGTACAACCAGTTGTATCGTGTGTGGCTTGCATTAGGAGTAGTACAAACATCTATGCCAAATTTTATTCATTTATTTTAAATATTGTAAACACTATCATGATTTCCATAAATGGAGGGACATAGCTACTCGACTTGAAATTTTATGCTGATCACGAATATATGTACTTTATGGTATCTCCGACAAATAATTCAAGGTGTTGCAAACGGAAGACACATTTAAATATTCCAAATATTTATAAAATCCGCAAACGGATATTTTATGCGGAAAACTTCGAGGAGGTCCGGAGGACACCAAACGGCACATTTTGCCTAAAAAAGTAATATATTCTTTATGTATTGTACCCATCTATAGAAGTTCTCAAAATATTTTTTTTTATTAAAAAAATATAAAAAATGAGTTTCTACCTTAAGAATAACTCAAACTGTGCTCATATCGATATGGAACCACAAAGTGGCCTCCTATTTAAAGATGACTGAAAATGAAGGTCTCTAAAGGTTCTTCCATTTATAAAATATCTCAATTGACCATCCTTAAAGGATATCTGAAAAAATAAATCTAAGGCACCAAAAGCAAACAAAACAAACACGTAGTCCATGTATTTATTAATTTTAATAGCCAATTATAGTTGTGTACTACGGTTTGTGCAATAAGCTGGCTATTGGATAGTTGTGAAATAATTTGAGAATTATGTCAAATATTTTGACATCATTTTTAAGTGTGTTCGCTACCACTACAAGTTAAACGAAAATTGTTAGTTTAATGTGTGTCGGTCTTGTATTTGTTGTTGTTGTTGCCCTTAGACTAAACGAAAAATGAAAATATTCCAACATTTGGACATATAATTTCCTTGAAAGCATTCTAGTTCATTTTTTTTTAAGAAAAAAAAAAAAAAAAAAAAAACATGTGTAGATGCCAAAACGAGGACCTGGGTAGAGCTACTTTATTTTTTTACTTGTTGTCCCTTGCTTTTTTGCTGTTGAAAGCCGTTGATAGATGATAAATGATGCTGCACTTTTTTTCTACATCCTTGTCTTCGTCCTGCTAAACATTTTTTCCATAGCTTTGCCCCTCCTTTATACTGCAATGAATTCTAATCTATATCCAAGGAGTCTTGAGTATATTGCAGTGACATGAATTGATAAAGTTGCAATGACTAGTATCCTTTTTTTTTTTTGTTGGCATGGCTTATGTCGTCTGCCGTTATTCACGTGCCATAAGGAACGAATGTTATCCCCACCGAGTTCTTAGAGATATGTGTTTATTTTTCTACTAGCAAAGAGATATTATAGTTGGCACATGGTAGAGGATAAAAAGAACACATCGTTCCATCCGGTATCTAATGTGTAAATATGGTTGTTATTATACCCTCCACCATACTATGGAGGGTATATTAATTTTGTCATTCCGTTTGTAACTCCTCGAAATATTCATGTCAGACCCAACAAAGTATATATATTCTTGATCAGCGTAAAATTCTAAGACGATTTAGCCATGTCCGTCTGTCTGTCTGTGTGTCTGTCTGTCTGTCTGTCTGTCTGTCCGTCTGTCTGTCTGTCTGTTGTAATCACGCTATCTTTCGAACAAGTTGAGATAGAAGGCTAAAATTTTGCACACATGTATTTTTTCCCAGTAGGCAGGTTAAGTTCGTAAATGGGCCATGTAGGTCCACGTCTTCGTATAGCCCCCATATATCGGTACCTCCCGATATTCGGTATTTTGATGATTTTAGCGACATTATTCACGGGAATTGTTTCAAATTTGGTATTTGAAGTTCAAAATGGATACTACACCCTAAGGCGGAAAATTATCCGTGCAGGTCCACGTCTTCGTATAGCCCCCATATAACGGTACCTCCCTATATTCGGTATTTTGATGATTTTAGCTACATTGTTCACCGTTTATTTCAAGTTTCGAATTTGAATATGGTAATGGCTTATGACCAACAATGCCTATGTATGTCCACGTCGTATAGACCCCAAAATAACGGCTATATTCGGTATTTTTAAAATTTTAACAGAATTTTTTAAGGATTTTATTTTTTGAAAATTTCCAAATTCGTTGCAAATGGTGGAGGGTATTAAAAGTTCGGCCCGGCCGAACTTACTGCTTTTTAACTTGTTTTTGTTTACACTTGGCACATTGAATGTGTTATGAAAATTTCACTTTTTTCCTGATGAACTGAACTGCAACGAAGTTGTGTCCCCTCAATAACAACAGCGTCATAATGTCTACGAAATATGGGTTATTTGTGTTGCAGATTCGCCGATGCAGGTTGTTGTTGGGTGTGTGTTGGCAATATTCAGGAAATTTTTTGTAAAATGTATAGTCTTTACTTATGGAAGGGAATTTTGTTAAAAGGATAGGTTGGTTAATTCAAAAAAAAAAAAAATTTTAATCCGAGTCTAATTAACACGGAATCAACAAAATAGGGGCTAAACCACGGAAGGACTACAGCAAATTGGACACTTTTCAATCCCCCGAATGTTGAAACCAGATCGTCGTCACTACTGGCGAGTTCCAAATGCGAAATTTTAAAAAATTTCGTCGAAAAATGTATTTTCAATTATTAAAAAAAATCGATAGTAAAACGTAAACATACAGGGTGAGTTAAAAAAACTACAACAAATTCAAACGCCGTAATTTTTACATTTTTTTTTTAAATTTTATTGAATGAAAGCAAAAAATATCGAAAATAGCATCAAATTTTAGAATAAGTTTAGATTTGTTCGAATTGGTCACCTTTGGCACGAATTATGGCCTTCAAACGGCCAATGAAACCGTCACACGCTGTCCGAATGTTGCTCTGCGGTATTTTGGCCCATTCCCGAAGCGAAGCGCTTGCTTGAGGTGATCGACACTTTGGTATTTTTAGTGCTAACCTTGCTTTCCAAAATACTCCAGACACAATAGTCCAACGGATTGGTATCCGGAGATTTTGGTGGCCATTGTGCGCTGGAAATGAAGCGAGGAACCTCATTTTGTAACCATTCTTGGGTGGCGCGTGCTGAGTGTGATGGTGCTGAGTCCTGTTGAAATTTCCAAGGTCTGCGGCCAAAATGTTTGCGTGCCCAAGGCTTTATTACACCCTCCAGAATATTTTCGCTATAATATTCGATATTTTTCTGATGCCACGGTCGATTAATAAGAGCGGAGAGCGACCATCGGCTGTTATGGCGGCCCACACCATCACCATGGCCGGCGCTTCATTTTCAGCTGGCCTCTTCGGCAAGCAAACACGATCATTTTGTTTGTTTACAAACTACTGAACAACGAATGTTTTCTCATCGGAGAAGACCAATTTCGGTAGTTCACCACTTTCCTTTGAGTCTATTTTCTTTCAGTTGCGGTGTAAGTTCTTGCACTTTTTGGAATTTCAATGGCTTTACCCCAAGCTCATTTTTCAATATTTGCCGAATGCAATATGTTCAGCTCACGAGCCATTTTTCGGCCACTGCGACGAGGGTTTCGATCAAGTCGCTTCTTTACTTTTGGAAGCATTTCTGCTGATGTTGCTGTTTTCTTCCGTCCACTTCCTTGACGCCGGTCTACGCTATCAGCATCACGGTAACGAGCGGTGGTACAGGACGCAAAAGATTTATTCACATTTAAATGCTGTTTTCCAGCCAAATATAAAAAAATCACACTTTCACGCTTGAATTCCATTACGAATAACGTTTCTGGAAAATTCTCACCAAAATGCTTTTGTACGCTTGTAAACAATATAATTATATGCCACTGGAATAATTTTAACAGCTGTCGGACGAGTGGCTCAAAAATTTGGATGCAGTTTTTTCATCTCACCCTGTACAATCCATTAAAAACTTTAAATTCCAAATTTTAAACAATTTCGTTGAGAAATGAGAGCAATATCATTAGAATACCGAATATCGGGAGGTACCAATATGGGGCTCATGGGAGAACGACCACCTATATAAAAAGTTATATCCTACAGTGGTTGGTATCCAATCCAAACATCATATATAAAGCCTTTTCTTTACAAAATGTGGCTTATATCACCTGAATACTAAATAACCGAATGTGGATGCTATAGTAAAACGTGAACAAATATTCTGCTAGAACCGATTACAAATCCTAAATAAATGGGTTCCTTTTGATTTTTGATTTATAAATTTCTATTTTATATCTCTCTCTTTCAACATTTTAACTTTTTCAAGACGATTCCAATGAGCCGAAATGTTTTCGAGTGGAGTAAATGTCAACCAGGAAACTTAACTTAACCTTAACTAACTTGCGACAATGGTAAAAATGGTTCATGGTTGGGTTATGGCATTTTAAAGCTCAACCTTCCTTTTAATATTTATACTTCCATTCAAATGCTGCTCTAACTTTTAAAATCCCCAACAAAATTCATTGAAAATTTATATTATCCAATTCCTTATTCTGGGTAAATTAATCCATCCATAAAACTTAACAGCTCTTTCCCCTAATCTTTATATTTTTTTACAATATTCACGAAATGTGGGATATATTTCATATGTGCACTAAATATCAAACAAGTTTCTCCAAAAAGTTCAGAAATTGCTAAGTTTATAACTCTCATGGGGATAAAATAGTAGCTGCCATAAGTTTGAAGTATATACAAATGCGGTATTAAAGTTTAATGAATTCATGGGTAAAATCCAGTTAGAAATGTCTTGGTATACTGTGCATTAAACTGAGTTCCTCTTTCCTATCTACCCATACGGCATAGTCTAAACAATATAAGGAAGCATCTTTATTCCCTGTTTATATTTCAGTGAATTTACCTTGAAATATTAAAAATAAATATTTGAAATTCTAAAAATGTTTTAAATTAAAAATAACATTCAACTCACCTGACATTTTTCACCGACCATACGAAAGACAGCTTCATTTTCCTCTTGGGTCAGCAGAGAACTTGGAGCATTGGCTTTGCGTCGCATGACTGGCGCGCCATGACCCCCATCCTGTTGTCGCATATTTCTGCTCATTTGAGCTTTTGTTTGTTTTTCTTGTTGTTGGTGTTGTTGATATTATTAAATTAAACTAGAATTAGGCGCGCACACACACAGACACACCGGACGAACCTTGGTAAAGTAATATATTTATTTTGGGTGATAAAAAAAATTCACTTCAACACTTATCACATAGGAAGGTAGTACGACGAATTCGTGAGGGGGTTTTTTCGCGATATAAATTGACCTTTTTTTAGTTTTGAAGAGAATTTAAAAAAGAAACAGACGGAAGGCGAATTTCGTTATTAAATTAAATTCGTTTTCTGGCGGCTTTCACACGTTTCCAAATTATAAATTGACAGTTTCATAAATGTGATGCTTATGAATATGATGTTTTTGGTACTAATTAGATGCCAGGGTCCCTTCCTATTGTAATGGATATGGTCAGTATTTCTTTTACTTTTAATTTTTTGGGGGGCTTTGTTGTTTCCTCATGCCACCCATCAGTTGCAAAATGTAGAGCAACTCTCTTTTCTACGCCAATACATGATGATGAAGATGATGCTGATTGCATTTGACATTTCCATGCAAATTGTCGATGAGAGTGAGAGGAAGGTAATCAATGCCGTTTTGATGTTTCATGCGGAGAGACGAAGAGTAGGATCCAATCAATGCACTCTCTCTCACCAATGTTTATGCAGGCAAACAGCGAATGAGAGCAGTACGTTTAGGGTTTGGTTGCTGCTGCTTCTTTCTTTTTTGTGAATGAATGAATTGTAAAAGTAGCCGCAATGACAACAACACCGACAACAACAAAAACAATGATATGGGTGAAGCTAGATGATTTTTTGCAGGGTTGACGAGCGAATGGAGGAGAATGTTAAAAAACGGCAGCAGCAGCCACAAACAAAAACAGCTGTTGTTGTAGCTGAGCTTAGACAAATGTAAAGTAGCAAAGCCAAATGACACTCTGACTACTTGGAATATTATTGTTGTTCTTGTTTTGAAACTGGAGGCCTGAATTTAAATGATATTGATGATGATTCGGTTGTACTTGATGTGTTATTATGGTTGTTGTTGTTTTTCTACATTTCACACTATGGACAACAACAAAAATGTCAGGGCAACAGCAGTTCGTGTTACAGCAACAGCAGCGTCGACGACGGGCGATGTTTGTATGTACGACAGATTGACTCAAAAGCAGCTGTTGAGTCACCACAAATGTCCACAACTAAACTGTTTTGCAATGTTCACCAAAAAGCTGGCAGATAGCGATAGCAATGAAGGTTTATAAATGTGAAGATATGATAACAAAGCGATAAATATATTAATCACTTTTCCAATTAGAAAATAGCAGGTCGGTATTGGTGACAACAGCGGCACCTGCAATTTTTCCCCTTTTCTTCCTTGTACACGATCAATTAATGAATGTAAACGTTGAGGGGGGCAGGAAAATGACTGGTGACTGTCATACTTTGAACAGACAAACGACGCTCTACCTTTTTCACAGCCGCTATGAATCAAATAAACTATAATGTACTGCGATTTCAAGGTGATAATGTTTGTTTTTTTTTTGGAATCTTGGATATTCACACTCTTCACTCCGCTTTGACACACAAAATAAAGCACATCACAACAGTACAGCGACAAAACGAACGAATCAACATTCAGCCAAAAACACACACACGAACCCGGACAACGTCACTCAACTAATGTTAAGCTCTTCTCCACCATAACAGACAGGCAGCCAGCCAAAAGAAAAAAAGAGTACAACAAAAAAAACCTTTTTTCTTTTTGGTTTTAGTTCACTTAATTGATTTTATGATGTTTTGTGGCTTTTTTTTGCAAAATTTCACTTTTGTGCCATATTTTCAAGCAATGTTAATTTTCTTTAAATGTTGTTGCTATTTATTGCCAAAAAATTGTTTGTTTTTCTCCACGAAGAAATTTTTGAGTGTTTTATAGCCAACTTTATTTCATTAGAGAATAAATTCACTTCATTCAAGTATTTCTCTTTAATTTAATTTCTCATCATCTGGCAATGTTGTAGGCTATCAATTTGTAATAGTATTTTGCTCGTGTTTTCTTGTTTTTTGGTATAATTAAATCAATATTCCTATTGATTTTCATACACCTTTGAAAAATTTCTCACTTTTTTCTTGACCAAATGACGAACAGATCTAAAAGCGTTCCCGACATCAGTCAGACTACGAGGCCAACCAATTTCATTGGCAGCTGACATTATTTTTGCTAAACGGCTACGGCACGCGGATGTCTTTGGTGTCGGCGTTCAGAATACTGCATGGGAGGCGTCGAAATGTGTACTCCAAAATTTAAATGGATTTAAACTGGTGTTTACACCGTGATAATTTTTTGTTTCTTTAGATTTAAAACTTGCAAAAGTAGTGAAGAGTAAATACGAATATCTTTATTATTTGTGAAAAGAAAATTTCAAAGGAAAAATTGTTTAAATTTGTTGTTGAAAAAATATATATTAGCAAGCGACTCAACGGAGTCGGATAAGAAAATATTTTCCAGAAAAAAGTTAAACTGCAAGTACATAAGAAGCTTGAAGTCATGGCTAGGCATATTTTGTGGCATTTCACAAAGGAAGTACAGAATCGCACTAAAATATTGCCGTCGTTGTCCATTATAACTTGACATTAATATGCCTAGCCTTGACTTCAAGCTTTTTATGTACTTGCACCCTTATTCGTGATGGAATTCAAGCGTGATAGTGTGATTTCTTTATATCTGGCTGGAAAACCACAAGTGGCTATCGTTAGAGCACTCCAGCATTTAAATGTGAATAAATCTTTTGTGTCTCGTACCATCGCTCGATACCATACTGATACTGGTAGCCTGGTAGCGTAGCCCGACGTCACGGAGGTGGACGGAGAAAGCAACAACATCAGCAGAAATGGTTCGAAAAGTAAAGAAACGACTTGATCAAAATCCGCGTCAGAGTGGCCGAAAAATGGATCGTGAGCTGAACATATCGCAACATTCCATTCGGCAAATATTGAAAAATGAGCACGGGGTAAAGCCATTGAAATTCCAAAAAGTGCAAGAAATTACACAGCAACAGAAAGAAAATAGACTCAAAAGAGATAACGAGTTGCTTCGCTAGGCCAAAAGTGGTGTACTGCTGAATTTTTCTCTGGTGTGGGCCGCCATAACGGCCGATAGTCGCTCTCCGCTCGTATTAATCGAACGATTCTATAGGGTGTATTAAAGCCTTAGGCACGCAAATATTTGGCCGCAGACTTTTTGACATTCCAACAGGAATCAGAACGAGCCACCCAAGAATGGTTACTTCATTTCCAGCGCACAATGGTCATCAAAATCTCCGGATACCAATCCGTTGGACTAGTCTTTTGAAAAGCAAAATTGGGACTAAAAAATACTAAAATGTTGATCACCTCAAGCAAGCGCTTCGCCGGGAATGGGCCTAAATACACAGAGCAACATTCGGAAAGCGTTTGACGGTTTCATTAGCGGTTTGAAGGCCATAATTTGTGCCAAAGGTGACCAATTCGAACAAATCTAAACTTATTCTAAAATTTGATGCTATTTCCGGCATTGTAAAAATTTTGGCGTTTGACTTTGTTGCAGTTTTTTATCTCACCCTGTAGGTGTTGGCTTAAACCAGACCTAATGATTAGTTGCCTCGATCTGTTGACCAGGTGTAGGCAAGGAACCATTTTCTTGGCGGTTAATTCTATATCTATTTTCTTTGACATAAGTGAACAAGACCAAAGTACTTGGCACATAAACAAAGGAATTGACAATATAAATAACGCGTTATGTGAAAACATTTTTTTCATGACAAAGTTATTCTTTGTAACTTATTGGAAGTTAAATATATGTATAAATAAAACACGATGGAGACATTAAAACCATGAAACATTCAAATGTAAATGCCACCTTAAAATAACTACAACACTTGTGCTTTAAGCACATTATTTTAAAATGAATTTATTCGTAACAGACCCTTAACAAGGCTTTTCATGCCGTTTTCATGTTGGCAATACGAGTGAATGAAGTACACAGTATTGCCAACATAGAAAATAATAACTTTACAGCAAAGATATCTCAATTCTGTTATTAAGTAACAGACGACTGTTATTTACATTATTATTAACACGCATACACACGTGCGCTCCAGTGGTCAGTTGTAGGAAATGTTGCGGTAATTAATAAACATTTGACGAGCATGTCTTATGTCTAAATATTTAAACTTAGACAGGATTATATTTTTTAATATTTAAAAAAAATTGTTAATCTTTTCAGATTCTACAATTTACATAGACAAAGCTGACCATATTGAATGGAATTTGCATTTAATCTTGGCATGAAACTTCTAACAGATAATGAAAATGCCTGAGTGGACAAAGCATTTGCATTATGGCAAGTAATTGTTTTAAAGATATGTTAAGCGGATTAAAATAAGACGATTATTTATCTAGGAAATATAAAACGTTCTAGAGAGAGAGAGAGAGTGCAAGGAATACAATTGGATTTAATATACATAATAATGACACATGACGTCATATTGAGGGGAAAGTGGTGAATCTATGATGGATAGTGCTAGAAAGAACGACATTTTATAAAGAATTAGAATGTTCTTCGTCTAGCGAATTGTTTTCAACTTTCAATTCCAGATAGAATAACAGTATCTGGACTCAAACGAATTCCACTTTCAACTGCAAATATCAGTGCGATCGGTTGAAGAATGCAGTTACAGATTTGAATACCCATTGAAGTGGGTGGAACCGGTATAAATGTGTCCATACCAAAACTGGAACCTATATAGACAATTTTCTACTACAAGGATTGTTATTTATTCCGAGCCTAAAATACCAAATTTAAAACAAATCCGTGAAAGATGTTTCTAGAATCATCCAAATGCAGAATGGACAATGTTATCACACTGGTGGTAGAATCCATTATGAGCTACGAATACCGAATAAAACAGTACCGAATATTTGAATGTGCAGTTATATTGGGGCTATAGGTAAACGTTGATCTATATACAGGGTGAGATAAAAACCAGTAAAGAAAGTCTTAAAGTCGGGCGGGCCGACTTTATGAAACCCTACACCACTTTGCTAATTTAGTAGAGCTCCACATAATTTTAGTAGAGCTCCACATTTTTATGGGAGAATTCAATCATACACGCTATGCTTATAATTATAATTTAAAGTTCAATGGCATATTTAGCGAAGCATTTGTATTTTTTAAATTCGGACTTGTGTTGTCCACACTTGTTTGGTGCACAAATAATTAAAAATCGGATAAAAATATATATGGGAGTTATATCCAAATCGGAACCGATCTCGATAAAATTTGGCAAAGATATTTCTGAACTGTATTTGATATATTTCCCTGAATATCGTTGTTACGGAGTGCATATTACGGTTGTGGGTAACAAATATAACAAATCGGATGAATAATATATATGGGAGCTATAGCTATATCCGAACCGATTTCGATCAAATTTGGCATACTTATTTTTAGGCCTAATTTGGGTGTATATGCAAAATTTCATACAATTCGGGCTGATATTACACGTTTGGTGCACAATAAAAACCAAATTGGACGAAAATATATATGGGAGCTATATCTAAATTTTGGCTGATTATCTCCAATTTCAATAGGGTTCGTCCTTGAGCCAAACAAATGATCTGTGCAAAATTTCATCTGGATTGGGCAATAAATGCGACCTGTACTTTGTTTACAAAAATACATGGACAGACGGACGGACGGCTGGACATGCATAAATCGACTCAGAATGTGATTCTATGCAGATCATAAAAAAGGAACTATGGGTCTATCTCGTTTCCTTTTACCTGTTACAAACAAATGCACAAAGATATAATACCCTGACCACCTTGTGGTGTAGGGTATAAAAACTGCAACAAAGTCAATCGCCATAATTTATAATTTTTTTTTAATTTTATTGAATGAAACAAACAAATGTCGGAAATAGCATATAGCTTACATTTGTTCGAATTTGTCACCTTTGGCACGAATTATTACCTTCAAGCAGCCAATGAAAACGTCACACGCTGCCCAAATGTTGCTCTGCGGTATTTTGACCCATTCCCGGCGAAGCGCTTGCTTGAAGTGATCGACACGGATTGGTACCGGAGATTTTGGTAGCCATTGTGCGCTGGAAATGAAGCGAGGAACCTCATTTTGTTACCATTCTTGGTTGGCGCGTGCTGAGTCCTGTTAGAATGTCTAAGGTATGTGGCCAAAATGTTTGCGTGCCCAAGGCTTGAATACACACTCCAGAATATTTTCGCGATAATATTCGGTATTTATTTTGATGCCACGGTCGATTAATAGGAGTGGAGAGCGACCATCGACCCACACCATCACCATGGCTGGCGCTTGAGTTCTGGTGGCCAACCGAAGGTGCACATTTTCAGCTGACCTCTTTGGCAAATAAACACGATCATTTTGTTTGTTTATAAACTGCTGGACAACGAATGTTTTCTTATCGGAAAAAACCAAATTCGGCAGTTCGCCACTTTCGGCCAAGCGAAGCAACTATTTAGCACTTTTGAGTCAATTTTCTTTCTGTTGCGGTGTAAGTTCTTGCACTTGTTGGAATTTCAATGGTTTTACCCCGAGCTCATTTTTCAATATT